GCTCATTAGATCATTTCTGGGTAAAACATTTTTAAGAGAAGAAATAACTCCCAAACCCATTTCACCTTTCCCTTACATTTTCCCTTCACGCCGAAACCCGCTCTCATCCTCTCACGCCCAATCGATTGCTTCCGTTTTCCAGTTCAACCCAGCCGACGACCATCTTCTGCAGTCGTCTCTCATGGCGAACCTTGCGTCGCTTCCTCCAACGTAGAAGCTAGTATGGCTCGTAGTGCACTCATCAAAATCTCTGTTTCCTTATTGAAGCTTTCCACTTTACAAGTCAAATTTGAACTTGAAATGAATCGTATTGTTTAAGTTTGGTTATATTCTCAATAATGCAGTCAATCAATTCCACATGAATCATTTCATCATTTTCGGTGGCGACAAGATTCCCCATTATTCATCTTCTTTTACAATGGACTTTATTTTTTGTTTGTGTTCTGCAATTTTAATTTTAGAGATAGAATTTGATTGATTAGATCAGAAAAATTATGGGTTTGAGTTCCCTGTAAACAAAAGCGAAATAATTCATGGGTTTCTTTTTATGCCCCTGTTTGACATCGGTTTATTTCTCATTCTATTTATCTTTCTTCATTTCAACCACACATTATATTAATAAAATAATATTACAATTAAACCAAAAAATTCTCCTTACTTTTTAACCACACAATCTTCCATCAATCACTATTCCAAAGATTATTTTTCAAACAAAATGGGTGTCAAACAAGGGCTATATATAATTTTTTTTGGTACATGCATCAGAGGGGACGGGTTTTTCCTAAATACTGAAAGAGTGGAGAATTGATAGGAAGGGCTTCAATTTGCTGGGAGTAGGAGTTCGAGATTACATCTTTTTTAGGTGTGATTTTGTGCGTCAAAAGTTAGTCAATTTTTTAGGAAAATTTGTGGGTTTTTCTCTTTGCAGTCAAATTAAAGAAAGTAAGGATTTTGTAAATTGAATTTTGTTGAATTTGTGTTCAATTTAAGAACTTTTGGAGTTCAGTACTTAATTTTTGCTGAAGATTACACTTGATTTGGGGAAATTTATGTATTTTCTGGTGATTTTGCTGATGAGCTTCCTTGCCTGACAAGACGAGCAAGGAATTGAAATTTGTTGAGCTAAATTTATTTATTTGTTGATTCTGCATCTGAACTCCCAAATTTATGTTTGACCATATAAAACATATTTAGGCACCGTTTGGTAACCATTATTCTAGAAAAAAATGCATTCTTTGTGTCAAATCATACCTTTTTTGTGGTTGAAAATGAAAGAAAAGTTATTGATGTGATGGAAAATATTATTTTATTGATGAATG